TACCTACAGTTATTAATATGGAAAAATGTCCAAATATATTAATGATTTTAAAAGGTAGGTTGCAAAATAACACATACTAGTATGATCTGTTTTTCTCTATATGCAAAAAGAAAAGTCTGGAAGGATGTTTTCTAAAACATTAATGGGGTTGTTCCTTGATAACTATTACAATCTAAACTGAATAAAGGAAAAGTAGCATCATTCAAATAGATAAATCAATACATTCAACTTCTGAACATATCCTCTAACTCCCTTTTCAAAAGTCAACTGGATACTTCATAACAACCTAACCATTTTAATTTATGACCAAAATTCTCATAAGCATAAGTTAGAAAATTATCTACCATTTTGTAAAGATCAAACTACCTTGTTTGTCCTTAACTTACATTATGAAAAACACCAACTTATATTTCAGAAATATTTTCCAGTAGTTTGTATCAGCATTTTATAAAACTAGGTTAAAATCAATGTAAATGTGAAGATATACTAAAGAATGATGAATGACTTATTTAAGAGGAACTGTGATCAAATGCATTTAATATTTTTTTATTACCTTGGCTTTAACGAATTGGACTATTGGACCAAGTTCTGATACTACTTGATTTCCCACATGAATAAAAGGTACTTTACCTGTTGAGGGAAAAAAATATGTAAAAAACTTTCAGTAAATTAAAATCTGTGCTAACAAAAAAAGAAATCAAGACAAAACTCAGATGTTTTAATGCAGAGATTTTATGAAACTATAACTTTTGAAAATAACAGTCAGATGTGTATGTCAAATTCTATAAATTTTTAAACACTAATTACTAACCAATTTTAAAACAAAAGGAACAAATAGATTAATTTCTACAGTACTCACTTGGATATAATAATAAATCACAATATTCTCTTTTCAGAACTAACACTAATAAAATATTTGTAAAGAAAGGTACATTTAGCTACAATTTCCCATTTTCCCTATGTATGGCATTTTTGGGGACACCCTGTATAGTGGTAAACACTAATTATCCAAATTACACGAATCAAGCCAGAACATTGGTTCATGACCACTGATAAATTTCAAAGAAATTTAACTGGGCTTTCTCTTCAGACTACAATGAAACAATCTACATTATAAATGCATTTAAGAAGTCTTCTTTTTACATCTTCTAATTTTAAATCTTTGATACTCATTAACGTCAATATTTTAAGTACGTATGGTGTATTAATAAATGTTTTTCACTCAAAATATCAGGAATGAAAAGAATTAACCATCTCTGAAGGTACGCTACGTGGTGAGTTATAATACAAAGTATGTTCCCAACACATGTGGGGAAAAAAAGAACAAGTAGCATGCTTATAAAAACTGGCTTCTCTAAACACATGCCACATTAAGAGTAATATTTCATTTTAATAAATGCTAATACTTGATGAAATTATCAGAGATGAGAGAACAAAATACTCTTCAAATAGCAAAAAGGTCTACTCCAAATGCTAAAGAATGAAACCTGCTGTCAGACCTAGTTCAAATAGAGTTCACACTAACAGCAGGCTTCTTCCTGCTCCTTTTCAATAGATTCCAGTCCTCTCTGGCTCAGTCAGCCTGGGGGTAATGGATGAGGTGCACAGCACCAACAAAAGCTTCATCTGCATCCACAGGATAACATGCATTACAAAGGAAAGGCAGACCTTGTGGAACACAACTCTATAGATGTATTTAGAAGACATTTCCCTGTTACCAATTCTGCATTCCTTCCTTCTACTGCTTTATAAATCTTGTAAAAAAAAAAAAAAGAAAAGAATTTATCTGGGTAAGCATTAGACCACATTGTTTTTTAACTTGGGATAAAATGTAACTACTATACTACCAGAATTAGTGCAAGTCCTCTGAGATAAAACGATCTAAGAATGAAAACTATTCAGTGCTTAGACTAAAGGGTATTTTGAGGTGTAACATTTTTACAGCAAAGTGTATTTCTCATTTTCAATAACTAGTGTCAGGTTCTTGGAAAAAGAGTTTGCATTTTATTTCTTTTCTTAAAAAATATCTTGAGTATTATGGATTCTAAAGCAGGGAAGGAGTATGGGTAGTCAATTGAGTATTCATCTTATATATCTCTAAATATAAAGAGATATATAAAAATCAAGGCAACAAGTTAGAAGTGAATAATGTTTTCTGTCAGTAGCCTGACTTAAAATGGAGCCAATGTTATATCCTTATTATTGCAGGTATCAGGCAAAAGCACAGTGAGACAGTTATTCTCTTGTACCAATCAAAGGTGATAAAAGAAAACCAAGCCCTCTGTTTTTCATTTTAGGCAGAATAATCACAGAATAGAACTTCTGTTTCTAAAGAAAGCAAGACTATGTTGCCAAGCAAGTTTACAGATTCAGAGAATGTTAGAAATATAAAGGACCTTGGATGTCATCTAATTCAGCCACCTCGTACTACAGATGAAGTCACCTAGGCTCAGAGAAGTGAAATTTTCCAAGGAAATACTTTATATGTGACAAAGTCACAGGAAGAGTAAAGATTTTCTAACT